AGATCCCAACGCCATTTATATGTTAATGAACAAACAAGACATTTAAATGGTCGCGATGTTGAATGTGATGCTGCATGTTTTTGAAGTTCAGTTGGCCAACGACCAACAAAATCACATTGTATACATTTTAATGGATTAACAGGATCACTTAAATTCCATTCTTCATTTTGTTGTGCAACATTTGTATTACGTGGTGGTGATTTTCCGGCTATTTCATTTTCTAATTCATGTAAATGATTTTTCGAAAAATGTTCATTAACAATTTCAACAGATAAAAATCGTTGATCACATATTGAACAAATGAAAATTTTTTGTCCATAAGAATTTTGTGGACTTGATGATGATGTATCATCCGAACTATCTCTACCACCATCATCATCTTCACTTTCATGATCATCCGTAGATTTTATTCGAAGATCTAATGGTGATTGATCTAATGGTGTATTTGTTGTCATTGATGTCGCTAATTTTAACCATGTATAAGGATTAAATGGAAATGCAGGATGTTGATGCGATGATGATGATGATGTTGATGGTGGATTGATTGATGTTGGTAACATATCAGTTGGAATTGAATTTAAATTTTTTGTTTGAGATAATTTCGATGGACGTATTGTAACAGGTGCGTCAAGTGGTGGTGGTTCTTCGTCGTTATGTTTTTCTTTCCAATGTTTATTTAAACTTTTTCTCCATTTGTATAAATTACCACATAATGAACAAGCAAATTTTACTTTAGAAAAAAAAGCAAAAAGTTCAATATGAAATTTAGTTTATCATTTAATTAACATACCTGAATTTGCATCATCTGGATCAGGTACACGACGATATCGTGCTGGATCAACAGAAACGTTATAAGGACGTTTACGATCAGGTACAATTGATGATGTTTGTTGTTGTCTTGTATGTGAATGAGATGAAGTAACGGAAAGATTAAGTTTCTTATTTAAATCAGTCGATGGATTCTATAGAAAAAGAGAAATGAATAACGATTGGTAGAAAAAAAAGAGAAGAGAAATAGAAGTAATGCCATCAACATAAATTCTCTCTCTCTCCTTCTCATTTTATGAGCATCCAATAATAATAACCATGACCGAAAGACTAATCTTTCGAACAAGTGTCAGTATATAAAAAAGAAAGTATAGAATAATTTCTCCGTTATACAAAAAAACAGACTACAACGAAAAATTTCTAATTGTGTTATAGTCGTCAAGAAACGAGCTCTTATTCGAAATAAAAACTATCATGATACATTACACTTATAAAGCTAAAATAGAATTACATGCGTGAGCGCAAATTCTCCTATTGCAAGAGAGAATAGACATTTAGAGAAAGTTTGTTTTAATCAAAATGTGTTTCTTTCTTTTTTCTTTTTATCGTTACTATAAATCGACATGATCATCATTACTCACTTTTTTAATCGAAAAAAAAGAAACATACACATCTATACACCTGCATTTAAACAAGACAAATGATAAGACTGATGTTTCTTGTTCTTCTTATTCTCATTTTATTATCCTATGAAAGTTTCACACATCATTATTGATTTTCTCTATCATGCGAAAAATTGAATATTCACTCTACAGATTAGTCAAATATAATTGTTGTTCTGACGTTGGCACGATTCTCAATCATAAATATGATCCGTTTTTATGGTCAAGAAAAAAGGGCACACTATACAGGTCAATCGCATGTAATTAATAATACTACTGCTCCATATATATACTTCGAAAAATGAAACTTTAATCCAAAGATGCAAATTTTCTTTTTTTTCTCTTCTTATAGTAACTGTCTGACTACTTTTGTTATTCTTCTTATTGATTGAAGAAGAAAAAAACAAAGAATTTGAATATTTAGTCATCTCATTAGTTATATCATAAAGTTTAGTTAAAAGAAAAAACATAAGAAAGATCAAACGATCATTTTTCAAGTGGAATTATGGTAAAACAAGTGTCAACTTCAATTATAAGATGAAGTTAAGATAGAAATTTAATATCCGATTTTTGGTAACAGAAGTTAAA